TGAGCATCTCATCATCATCACAGCCTCCACCTTCATCACCGGTAATCACCAAAGCAGAAGGGTTCGGCAGCTACCAGAAATGGGGAGAAGATGAAGCAGATCTAGCCGGTAATCACAGAAGCGAAGCATTCACTGAATCTCCAACCCACCGGCGACAGGTTGAGCGGCGTGCGGCGTGTGGCGTTCGTCGTTCGTGATGAAGAAGGAGAACAGAAACAGATTTGCAATCGGAAATCCATTGTTTTTTTTGTTTTTAGTTTGAACTTAGGTGTACCGGTCATATTTCGTTGTGTCGGCCGGTATACAAAATTCCGACCGGTACACCGGATTTTGACCGAAACGGTCGGATTTTGACCGAAACGAAATTTGATGTTGTATCGTTTCGGTTAAATGTTAAAACCGGTACGTACCGGCCATACCGGCCGGTACGGTACGAGATTGACTTCTTTACTCGATACACTACATTGAATAATGATAATATCATCAAGGAATTTGCCAATTATCTCTTTGATCTGTAAATTAATTATCTACTTTCTTTAATATTGTAACAAAATAAAAAACAAAAAAGGAAAACATGAAACCTTGCACATTATGAAAAAGATGTCACTAGAATTCTATATCCTATTGTTAAAGTCATGTTTTCTGGGAGAAAGTAACAATTGGTGGTATTATGGGAATACCAAAACCAACTATCTATATAAAATTCAATTTTAAAATAATGTATATGGCTATACCTGACTGCTTGACTATAGGCATCACTTTCCTAAATTTTAAAAAAAAAAAAAAAAAACCCAGAAAAAAGAAAGAAAGAAAAGAATAACAAAGGATCAGAGCTTTGTAATGATAAGAACAAATTGAAATCTTGCATGGAAAAGGAAAAACTATTAAAGTATGAGAATATATGGAGCGGTCAATAAAATTATTAGAATTGGATCAATAATGATTTCATTTACTTGTTTGTTTAATTTTGCTTTAACAGAGATTCCATTTCGATCAAAATAGAGTTATGCTAAGTAAATTCTAAAATAACATTAATATTACAAAATGATAAAATTATAGCAAAAATAATCCTTTCCAAAAAAATCTTATAATGATGGCCTTCAAAACAAATTATAATTTGTAAAATGCCCTTTAAACTCAAAAAAATTTCTTCTCCTCTCGTAAGAGTATGTCATTTGCCACTTACAAAATTGTTTCACAAATTCAAAAAAATTATGCCATTTGTCACTTACAAAATTACCTTCTAAAATCAAAAAAATTTCTCCTCTCATATAAACATGCCATTCCCATGTGTCCTATTCACAATTAGAGAATGAGGTGGGAGAAAGGAAGAAGAAAAGAGTGATGAGAGAGATAGGAAGAGAGTAGGATTAAGGTTTTTTATTATTATATTATTAGATTGCAAAAAAGTTATAGAGTGAGTAAGGAGCCATTATATTTAAAGGATAAAAAGGTCAATTTAAAGACACATTAACCCCATTGCCTTAAAGATCAAATTGCCTCCATACCAGTCAAAAATTACAAATAAATTATTAGAGACTCTTCATACTTCATTTAAAGGGTAAAATAGTAAATTAAACTAAATGTATAAAATAAAGTGAGAGAGAGGAATGGTATTGTGAGAGAGAAAGGAAGGATCAAGAAAGAATTGAGAGAAAGCAACAAACATGGGAGATAGAGAGAGATAGGAACGAGGGATTAACAGAGTAATTTAGATACACATTAACTCCATTACTTTAATGACCAAATTGCCTTTAAATTAATAAAAAATTACAAATAAATTATAAGAGCCTTTTCAAATTTCATTTAAAAAGTAAAATAATAAATTAAACTAAATGTATAAAATAAAGTGAGAGAAAGAAATGGTATTACGAGAGAGAGAGAGATAAAATTGAAAGATAAAAAAGTTAATTTAGATACACATTAATTTTAATATCTTAAAAGATTAAATTGTCTCCATATTAATTAATAAATAAATTAGTGAACCTTGTTATATTTTATTTACAAAATAAAATAGTAAATTAAACTAAATGTATAAAATAGAATAAAATAATAATATTATAAGAGAGATAAAACGGATTGAGCAAGAAGTGAAAGAAATGCACAAAAATAGAGATAAAGAGAGATAAAAAAAAAAGACTCAAAGAAGTGAGAAAAACAAAACAGAAATAAGAGCTGAAGGGAGATGAAAAAGCGAAGGAACTCAACTTTCTCTTATTTATAGGTTTAGATTTTCGCGCCTTCAAATCCAGGGACGGAGCCAGGAGGGGTAGAATGGGGTTGCACGGGGGGGCGCTCGCCCCCCCCTTAGACTTTTGAAAAAAAAATTAAGTAGGTCTTATACTTTTTAAAAAATCAAATAAACTCTTTTTGAAGAAAATAAAATAGTTTGTTTTAATTTTTATTTTTTTATAGATCTTATGATAAATTACTAATCATTTTATAAATAAAATAAATTTAATAAAATAT